CGGATTGGGCAAGGAGTCAAGGAGCGGAATCAATGCAAGCTGGGAAGAGGGGGGAGGAGGAAGATAGTGACACCTACCGGGGCAACGCGAGGCTAATCACAAATGCCGTCTGTTCACATTGAATCGGGCTTGTACTGTCGAATGGATGCCGCTTAAGCGACACACCACAATACATTCATGACGCCTAAAGCCGAATCGATACCGGATTGGTCAACTAGGCGAATCAGACAGCTGTCGTCCGATCGATCAACCGGGGTATCAACGACGCGATCTGATTATCGCGTCATTACTTACGCCGGATTTATCACGTGCAGAATAAATTCTGCCCCATATTGACACTCTTCACATCCACAAACGCAGCGTGGTCCTCCTTTGACCGTGTTTTGTTGATTTCATCACCTCGTTGATCCGTGCCAATGACTGTTCTCCACGCCGTTTACACACACGCACGCACACTTAGTGTTTGCTGTATTACGTTAACCTCTGTCGGTCTTACTTATTGATTGTTGCTTGTTACGTTCCCGGTCGGGGCGGATCAATATTGTCACTGAGATCTCAAATCGCCTCAATGGCCATTACAATATCGTATCACTTAGTACGATCAAACCGGTCTTTCTTCTTGTTCAAGATCAGTATTAGTGCATCTATTTGGATTTCCCTTTATTTGCGACTTAAAGAAGCTTTACATATGCTCAATGGATGAGATCGCTTCCAGAAGCATTGCATGCATACAGTTCCGACAATCATCAATAATAGTCTGTAACTAGTACAGCGATTAATTTTAGTTGTCTTGTTGACATTGAAATTACGTTCTCTTGAGGTCTGTTCATTGCTCAACTTCTGTCAGTACTTAATTAAAATCTATAGTTGATCATACCTCAAACCGTGAGTCTTTCTATTCAACCTCAACTGTCACTAACTCTTGTGTTTCGGGTACATTCATTATATACCCTCGGGTTAAACAGACCTAAATGCTACCGGACGCATCCCGGTGTTGGGGATTGGAGGATACCTTCACCGAAAAAGGTTAGCTGTCTATAAGTTGTTGCATACCAACAAACAAACATGACAAATCAGCAGTCGCGAAGAAACAGCGATGGCTCTACCAGGTTGTGGTGAGTTTCAGGTTGGTCAACTGGCTCCCGTTTAAAAGTCGCACAAACCCAATGACGGTGTTGTGTCAGAGATCGATGCGATTGGCCTTTTAAAATTACTGTCATCGATCACCTCATTTTCGAGGCGAGCAATTACTTCTTGCTGCCCTGCAGTTTCGCAATTGGTTGTGCAAAGGCTAGAGGTGGGACCTCAGAATAAGAAAACGCCGAGTGACGCTGGGGACGTCACTCATACCAAAATACCAAGGAACCTCATGATCATGATCAGGTCCAGAGCCCGCTTTTCCTTTTCAAGGAGCCAGCCGCCGTAAAGTAAGTAATGTAAGTAAGTACATTCATGAGGTCCGTCCGTTTTGATTTCGATGATCTACGGGACCCACAAAAGATGAACAGAAGGCGTTCCTCGAAGTGTGGCAATTCATTACTTGCTATTTCTCGTTGCCACGAAATCAAGTGGATATAAGTAATCATACGAAAGTAGTCATTTTCTCGTCACCTTGTATTGTGCGCATACTATTATCTTTCCAATGGCATATTGTTCTGATTCTTTTCTTTAACTCATCCTCTTGGATAAACAACATCCGGTTTTGACACAAGATTTTTCATTGAATTAACACTGTCCAACGACACACACAAACACGAGACTAATTCCGTATGACATATTGAACGTACATCCCGGTTCTGAAATATATTTGAGGAATAAAACATTTCAAACTACGATTAGCCCGTTCGGGTTAACAGAAGCACTAGGCACACTTGATGAGCTTGGGTGCAGATTCCACTTCCCTGGAGATGGTTAAGTCCCACGAGGAAAACGCATTCAGACGCGATGAAAATATTAGTGATAACCGACAAAGAGCACTGGATAGCTTTTTTGTCCTGTTTGTGACTCGTTAGCGGTGCGCACTTAGTGTCTCCAGCAAGGGTGGCTGGTGCTCCTGAAGCATCGGAAGCAGCAGTTCAATCCCCAATCATTGGCATTTAGCGTGCATCGTACTCGGCTATGTTAGTTACGTGATCCAAAAGCTGTACCTTCCTTTCAAAGCAGAGCGGGAAAACAATACTCAAAAGTAAAACCACCGCCATCCCACATTAAAAATCATTACGGTTTCCCATGGTGTGGCACAACCATCGTACGTGAGATGAGTTTCGGACACAAGGGTAATCGTTCTATTTACTTATTCTTCATTAAAACCAATCTGATTCTGTCTGGTCTCTCAAGAAGTATGCTTTTCCAGAAAATAGTTGCTTCAGCATTTTTTGCTCCATTCTTACTGAGGCTAAATTTCAAATTTTGACCAACATTGCCTAATTAATGGGTAATAAGACTTCAAAAATTTGTGCAGTTCGGTAATCAATCGGTGCACTGAATACACTCAAGTAATCGACTCGTGGTAGCCAGTCGAACGGTGCCCCCTTTTAACTGTTACGCGACCCGAAGGAAAAGAAAATACGAGGAAGTTTCTGAATATCAATTTGTGGCTTCGGTGGGAAACGGAAATTCTTTGTTTTTCTCTCCAAAATTGCACAAGTACATATTTTACTCACCACATGAACCTATATGAGGAAAACAATGAGGCAAAGATTGTGAACAAACTTGGGGAATAACAGCTTCACCAATGATCAACCAAGTAAGAGAAAGTGTGCACCTGGATCCGGTCTTTACGGACACCAGTTAGTTCTTCAAATTAGCTCCGTTCATAAGGTA